CGCGGGCGGCGCGGCCGCCGACGTCGAGGCCGCGGTCGCGTCCGCCTTCCCCGCCTCCGGGTGAGAGGACGCGCCAAGCGGAGGAGGGGGGGGCCTGGCCTCAGCGCCCCGCGCCGCCTCCCGAGCCCGAGCTGCTGGGGCCGCGGGGACCCCCGGCTGCCTGGAGGGGCGGAAACCCGGGCGCCGGCCCCGCCTCTGTGCCCCCGCCCCGCCCCCTCCCTCCCCTCCGGGCCCCGAGCCGCCGGCCGGGATCGGACGAGACTGGGCAGGGAGGGCGGGCTGGCCTGCGCTCGGCGGGCTCCCGGGGAGACTTCTCTCTTTCCGTTTCTCGATCCTCGGAGACTGTCGGGTCGGGGGCCTGCGCGCCCCACCCGACCCGCGGGGGTGGAAGCTGCACGTGTGCCGGGAGGGGGGCGAGGGCGGGGCGCACCCGCTCCGGGGACCCGGCGCCGGTGCTGTCGGCCAGGTTCTCGTCCGCGCGCCGCGCGCCCATCCACCCTGGGCCGGGCCGGAGGCCGAAGCCGCCCGCCCCGCGTCCCCCGCGCATTCCAGTCGCGCCACCGCCCGGCCACGGCGCGGACGCGGCTGGGGACAGATGGGGACGCGGCGGGTCAGACGACGCGTCAGGCCCGGGCCAGCCAGCCACAGGGTCCCCCCAAAAGGAGAGTGGACCCCCTGCTAAGAAGTGGGACGGGCCGGCGGTGGGAAAGGGTCCCCTCGGAAAGAGCGTCCCCGCGTGAGCTGGGGCCCTTGGTGAGCCGGAGAGATTTCGAAGTGGACCCGGGGAAGCTGCCCCCGTGGAGAACCGGGATTCACAGCCGCCTGCTCCTTAGGCTGCTCCTAATTGGGAGGTAATTTCGAGCGATAGTTGAGGAATCCGGTTAGTTCAAGTATTGGAAGTTGGTTCTAGAGAGTCTCGGGTGACCTCACATCGCCCCAGGATGGGGAGGCAGAGCCAGGGCGAGGCCCGTAAGCGCTCTGCGCTCCTGGAAAGATCGAAAGCCCAGCTAGGGCGCAGAAACGATGGGGACCGAGGGCAGGTTGTCGGTCACGTGACTCGATCCAGACCCGGGGGTCGTCGGTCACGTGACTCGATCCAGACCAAGAGGTGTGTCTCACTGCTACGCACACACACGCACACGCACATACATCACCGCCTCCAGGTTTTACTCAGACTGCTCCAGTGACTTGACCATATCAGACCTTCAAAGTTCATCCAAGTTTATCTTTACCTCCCGTTTGCCTTGTGAACTGGGAAGAGAAGGTGTTTTCCACAACCTGGAGACCCCCCAACGTGGCGACAGTCAGTAAATGCTGGTGACTGATGGATTCACCACCTAGTCCGCAGGAGGCACCTGAGGGTAGAGGCTGAGGAAGCGGGCAGAGCTGAGTTCTGCCGTCCCCCACAAAGCGCCACTGAGGTCTCCCCCCACCGCATCCTCCCTGGGCACACACCCCCTCTCCCACTGCCGCTGGGCTGAGCAGAACCTCTCCGACCACAGTGAAGGTGTTTTTATGCATCCAATAAATCTATCCTAGGAGCAATCAGGTCTCCTTTTCCTTGTTGCCCAGGAGACCTAACTTTGTGAGGCTGCTCTTCAGTTGTGCCAGGCACTCTGGTCACTAAAGAGAAGGAAGCTTTTTCCTGTCCGCAATGTTTGTTTGTTAAAGAGACCTGGAACTAGAGAGTAAAAATAACAACTGCCCAAAAGTCACTAATCATTACAGAAATTCCGAGTAAAACACAATGAACTGCCACTTTTTAATCCATTGCATTGATACAGATTTTTTAAAATCTATTAAGAGAAATTATCCAAAATCTGGAAATAAGATAAAAAAGATAGTGCTCCTTTCAACCTCTTACTGAAGCGTTGTTTAAAAGCCCAAGGATTACTTACTTTTCTAGGAGAGTGTACTGTTGTTTGATGTTGCTGTTTACTATTAATGAAAAGCTGAGTCTCTATAAGTTTATGTACCAACCTGTAGATTTGTGCCTGGTAGAGATGCAAATAATCTTTGTCCCAAAGAAAAGGTAACTTCAAAGGTTATAATTATTTCCCTGTAGGACATTAACCATGTTTATATGTAGCCTAGCAATCTTATTTTAATAGGGGTTAAGGACCCTGTAAACCCATTTCCCCAAATGGTCTTTGAATCAGCTTTTTCATCTTACAAATGTCCTCATTAGTCAATGAGGTGAGTAAACTTTTGGCCCATGTGCATGCCATATTTGTAGAAAGATTTGAGAGTCATATTTAACTTTGGAAAATTATACTTGGGGAAGTCTGACAAGAACAGGAATTTTTGCCGGCTTATGGAGAGACACGTACCCTCGCGCACTGATTCGGGGTGTCCGGGTTGGAAAAAGCTCTTTGGAAGGCAATTTGGCCGTTGTTGTTGAAACTGAAAGTGCACAGCAATTCCTCTTGTGACCTAACAATTCCTCTTCTAGGAGTAAGTCCCGAGAAACATTTCCACACGGGCACTTAGAGAAATGCGCAGTGTTTGCCACGGTGAGAAAGTGGAAAGCACTTCAGTGGCCATCAAAAGTGGAATGGGATATAGACTGGATGAACCACAAGGTCCTAGTGTGTAGCACGGGGAACTATATTCAATATCCTGGGATAAACCATAATGGAACAGAATAGAAAAAAGAATGTATATATGTGTGTGTGTAACTGAGTCACTTTGCTGTGCTGCAGAAACGAACATTGTAAATCACGTACACTTCAATTAAAAAAATACTTTTAAAAAGTGGAATGAATAAATCAGTGGCACATACATGTGGCAGAATACTATACAGCCACAGAAGATGAATCAGTCCTAAAAGTATGGGTAGATCTCAAAAACAAAATGTCAGTGGAAAAAAAACCTGTCAATGAAAATGACTATGGGTACAGCACAGTTATATGGACGTATATGACAAAACAATACTAAATGGAAAGATACCTGCCAAATCCATCAAGGTGCCTATGGGGTAGTGAACAAAGTCAAGATGGGAAGATGTCAGCAGGGACTTTTGCTTTATCTGTAGTGTTCTTGTGTACATTTCTGAATTAAATGGATGCACGTATTACCTGTGTAACGTTTTAAAGGGGTATCTCGGCGCTGTGAGAGTTTGGAAGTCAAGAGCCGGAGTGTGCCCAGTGCTTGACTCTGGGAAGTGGAATTAGGTCCTAGTGAGCTTTTCTTCTCAGGCTTTTCCTGTTACTTAAATATTAGATGGTGACGATGATGAGAGAATCTCTGACGTAAGTACTGGAACTTCTGGCTTCTGGTCCAGCCCAGCCACCAAGTCCAGCGTATCACCTCACATGGCGCACCTGAACTCTTTGCCTGGATTTGCCTCTCCATGTATCAGGAATTGAACACAAATATATGAGAAGTCCATGTCTGCTGTGAGGACAAATAAAATGATAGAGGGCAGGCAGTGTGCTGGTACACCTCTGAGAACCTGTGTTGCATAAACGTCAGGAACAGACACAGAAAAGACGAGTGGTTTCAGGTTGTAAATCGGGCTGACTGGGTAGCTCGGTGCCTGAGGCTACATAATACAATGTGAAACCGGGGAACAAAGCTCTCTGGGTCACCTGCCTGTCTGCCAAGGTGGGTAGAATTACAAAGGTGTGTCCGAGGAGGAGCCCTGGTTGTAGGCAAGCGCTTGGGAAACCAGATACTTTAATCTGATTCTTAAGAGTAACAAATGGGAATAAAAGAAAGGCTTCATGAAATTCAAGGCCTTTACTTTGGAAGGGATGATCATTTTTCTGTTTACTTTTCTCCTGTGGCTGTTTTGTTTGGACTTGGGTTATTTTGTAAGCGCTGTCACACACAGTTAAGAAAAAAGAGCAAAGGTTGGTGGTCACTCCAGGTCACCCTCCGTGTCCCCCTCGTTCTGCATCGGAAAACACGGTAGGGAGCTGGGGGCTCAAGCCAGGAGGTTAGATGGGGCTGGGGAGGCGTTCCTGGCCGCAGCGGGGCCCTAACCCCACCTGTTCCACAATTCGTAACCACCCCACCCCCATGCTACCGCCGCCATATGCAAAGTTGGAGCTAGAGCGTCTTTTCCATCACTGCCTGTGCTTGCAATGAGTTGGGTAAACTAGTTACAGGGGCACCGTGATTTTTAAAAAATTTTTATTGGAATATAGTTGATTTACAATGTTGTGTTAGTTTCTGCCGTACAGCAAAGTCACTCAGTCATACATACACAGATACCCACTCTTTTTTAGATTCTTTTTCCATATAGGTCATTACATAGTGCTGGGTAGAGTTCCCTGTGCTATACAGTAGGTCCTTATTTGTTATGTGCTTTATATATAGCAGTGTGTATATGTCAATCCCAGTCTCCCAGTCTATCCCCCCCCGCACCGTAACCGTAAGTTTGTTTTCTACATCTGTGACTCTGTTTCTCTTTTGCAAAAAAGTTTATTTGTACCATATTTTAAGATTCCACATATAAGCGATATCATACATTTGTCTTTCTCTGTCTGACTCACTCCACTCAGTAGGACAATCTCTAGGTCCGTCCGTGTCGCTACAAAAGGCATTAGTTCGTTCCTTTTCGTGGCTGAGGAATAATTCACTTTGAGTTCCGCCCACGGGAGGCGGGGCAGCGAAGGCCCTGCAAGCAGAGCTCTCCTTCCTCCCTCTTGAAATGAAAAGCAGTGGTGAGGCCACAGCGCTGTGAATGCTTTCGGCACAGTGACTGGTCTGACGCTCATGTCAGCCCTCAGGGGTAAGGAGAGCTGCCCCTGCAGGTGAGGAAACTGGGGCTCCAAAAGGGGCTGAAGTGCTCCCAGACCCAGGGCTGGCCGCAGACCCGGGCCTCCCGGCAGATCCCACAGCCTCCTCTGGCTGTGGTCCAGCCGCACTGGCTCCCTCTGCTGGCTCCAAAGTATCTCCCATGCGGACGGTGGGTGTCAGGCTCGCGGGCCTGGTGGGCCTTACCTGCCCCAATGCCCCCCTGGACTAAGGAGTCCCACATCCTTTAGAACAGTGATTCTCAAGCCCTAATAGGCCTGGGAATCCCCTGGGAGCTTGTGAAAAAGCAGATCCTGATTCAGTGGGTGGGGCCTGAGAGTCTGCATTTCTGACAAGTTCCCAGGAGGCCCCAGAGCTCATTTTCTGCAGGCCGCTCTGAGTAGCAAGGCTGGTTCTAGCTTCAACCAGACAAAGCAAGTCAGGTGTCGGGCAACCCGTTGTACCATCTCACGGTGTCCTCATCGGTTCATGATTGTAACTAAGCGTTAATTATGTTTTCCTGGCTGGAATGTCATCCCCACGAGGACAGGGACAATGACCGTCTCCTTCATACTGGTACATACTGGTACATACTGGTACACCCAGTGCCTAACACAATGCCTGGCACGTGATAAATGCTCACTAAATATCTACTGAATGAATAAAGTCAGTGAGGGAAATGAATGACTGAGCCACCAAAACAACGCCGTCCCCTGATTCCCAGCAATGAGACATTTGGGAGGGTTTCATAGTCTTATCGTCAAATCCATATTTTCCTGGAGACCCAAATCCCATGCATCAAGCCATCTAAAAGGGATTCATGGTGATCATCTCTTAGGAATGGGATTACAGACTTTTTATTTTCATTTGTGCACTTTTCATGTTTTCCAAATTTAATGCAGTAAGCGAGCATTACTGCAGTAATTCAAAGGAAATTTAAAAGTTCATCTAAGCAGATTCTCTCTTGGTCACTTCTGCTTTATCACCACAGACGCTGAGCTGGCTGTACTGTAATCAGTCACTGTGTTCAGTGTCTCAGTTTCCAGACTATAAAGTAAGGTTGGGCTGGAGATGACCACTGAGCCTCACTGGGACGTGAATTCTCTCTGAATTTGTCTTTTTGTCCATGTATTCCTTCTCATCCCTGTTACTTGCAAGGAATCCTAATCTCATATCCGCTGACCTCACCTCTGTGGGTTCTTGCCACCCGGAATACCGTTCCACGATACCCCTTTTCTGAGGATGGAATTTGTTGCTTAAGTCCTGAGCAACAGACTTCCCCACTGCAGCTGAGGTGTTTACATAAACTTAAGTCACCATTTTTTAACGTGATACTGAAAAAACTCAATGAAAACCCAAGACTGTTTAAGACTATCTGTCTTAGTCACAGCACGAAATAATCCTGTTGGGAAGGGCTGCTGGAGTTTTACACCTTTCAGTGTAAAATGTTTTTTACATTTACATAGTGTAGAACATTACGTTACAGTAAATAATGATCACTTAACTGTAGTGAATGTTGGTTGTAAAGTTATTCATGCTTCTGGGGGTAGAGATGTTGTCCTGGATGTATCTGCATTGGTTGCCTCACACAACCCAGAGTCTAGACTGGTACCCTGGGCACATTTCATTCTATGAGTGAATGAAAAGGAGACGGAGGTACTTCTGGCTTGTTCAAGAAATGGGGGGGGGGGGGGTTTGGGTCGATGTTCACGTCCTTTGACATCCGCTCATGTCTATATGCCCCAGCCTCCCGTCAATTTTGTGCAGCTTCCGTATCCACTCACACCATCGGCCATTTAGCATGAGGTGAGAGAGAATCCCTAGGTAAGAAGAGCAGGGCTGAATCCCACTGCCCCTCACTTTATGCAGATGTTTCTGAAAAGATGTGGACTAAGCACATGTCTATAAATTTGATTAAAAGGAGCAGAAATTTGTAAAGGGGGGATGTATTTGGCCACTCAGTCTCACCCACATAGAGGGGCTTGATTTATCCCCAACGGCATTGCTGAGTAGCAAGGACTTACTTTGGGGGGAAATTATATGATTTGGGCCATTTAAGAAAGGAAATATGGGGCAGTTCTGGGGCTCAGCAGGTGTTTGGAGAGGCGGGCATCCTGAGCACAGCAGAGGGCAGGCAGGGCTCCATGAGGCTCCTGAGCTGGTGAGGACAGAACAAGCAGCTCCTGACCGCCTGCAATCCCATGGGCGTGGCTTCCACGGGGCGGTGTGTGCCGGCTGCCATTTATCCTCCGGATTCCCACTTCACTTCACACCCACCTTCCAGAGCATCCCTACTGCCACGCTCCCGGCCACACCCCCCAGGTGACAGCCTCTTCCTTTCCCCTCTTTCCAAGGCATAAACTCTTTCTCCTGCCCCACTGTGTCCTTCCTTTAGGAATCTCAAGAGCATCCTTCTGGGGCGGGAGACCCTTGTTTCTCTTTGCCTTCTTGACACGACAATTCGAGTTCTTCCTGAGTGTGAGTCTAAGGAAATGAGAGGAAATGTCCATCAAGATCATGTTTGAAGTTACCATACACAGGAGTCACAGGTGACCCTCCTTTCTTTTTTTCTTTTTTTTTTTTTGCGGTACGCGGGCCTCTCACTGCTGTGGCCTCTCCCGTTGCGGAGCACAGGCTCCGGACGCGCAGGCTCAGCGGCCATGGCTCACGGGCCCAGCCGCTCCGCGGCATGTGGGATCTTCCCGGACCGGGGCACGAACCCGCGTCCCCTGCCTCGGCAGGCGGATTCTCAACCACTGCGCCACCAGGGAAGCCCGACCCTCCCTTTTAAGGCTGATACCCACATCCTGATTTCCTCTTTGGCTTTTGTGGACATTTGTATTTTCATTCCCAGATGGGCTCAGTGCAGGCAACGCCATGTTCATAGAGCCTCTGAGTTTAGTCTTCTCTCTGACTCTCTGATCAGCCTGGATGTTGACTTCCACGTGGCAGCCCCAGTGACTTCACTTGGTTGTCTGCACATCCCAAGTATTTCAGCTAATTGTCAACTTTCTGCTATCCGTTATCTCAGGACTGTGAGTACCTCACCGATGGGGCTTAAACAGGCACAAAGCATTCAGTGAACTGAAACCAGAAAAAAAGGCTCAGGGCAACGGCACAGATGCCCGTGTCGTGGTTCAAGGAGTTGACTTTTATAGAAGTAAGTGCATTTGTATTAGTTGTTATGGTGAATTGTTCTGACACTCACCCAGACAGGAAAATAATGGGAGTTTCTTTTCCCAGGTGACCCTGAACTCAAACATTCCAGATTGGCCTCAGCTGGCCCAGAGCAGAAGTCATAAGATTGAAAAAATAAGTAAAGAAATTTTTTTTAATTTTTTAATTTTTTTTAACATCTTTATTGGGGTATAATTGCTTTACAATGGTGTGTTAGTTTCTGCTTTATAACAAAGTGAATCAGTTATACATATATGTATATCCCCATGTTTACTCCCTCTTGCATCTCCCTCCCTCCCGCCCTCCCCATCCCACCCCTCTAGGTGGTCACAGAGCACCGAGCTGATCTCCCTGTGCTATGCGGCTGCTTCCCACTAGCTATCTATTTTACGTTTGGTAGTGTATATATGTCCATGCCACTCTCTCGTCTTTGTCACAGCTCACCCTTCCCCCTCCCCGTGTCCTCAAGTCCGTTCTCTAGTAGGTCTGTGTCTTTATTCCTGTCTTACCCCTAGGTTCTTCATGACATTTCTTTTTTTTTCTTAAATTCCATATATACGCGTTAGCATACGGTATTTGTCTTTCTCTTTCTGACTTACTTCACTCTGTATGACAGACTCTAGGTCTACCCACCTCATTACAAATAGCTCAATTTCGTTTCTTTTTATGGCTGAGTAATATTCCATTGTATGGAGGAACTACTGCTTTCCAAAAACATCCGATTCGGGCCCGTGATTGAAGATGAGCTCAGGATATGTGGAACGTTTGCTTCCTCCTTACTTAAAATTGTTTAAGTTGTTTCTATTGACCCTCTAAGCGAGAAGAGAGTGTGTGTGTGGAACGTTCATGCCTGAAGGACTTTCCACCATCGCCTCCCCAGATATATATATATATATATATATATATATATATTCTAGAAAACCAGTGCTAGTCTGATGTCCAGCTCTGGGCTGAGCTGCAGTTTAGAAGGTAAGCAATTGCAGACTGCTCTGTCAAGCTTTGCTCTTTGTTAATAATCTATTTACAGTTCAGCACACCGGCACCTCCTTTGAGTCTGATTATACTCCTAACCCTCCAAGTTCAATGTCAGCAGATCCCGGTCTGACAGTAAGTGAGATGGCTTTCTGGGTTTGCTAGTGTACCGCGTTTGAAAGACAGACTCCACCCAAAGCAGCTGCCATGGTGGGGCCCGCACTGTCCCTTGCAGGATGGTTTTATTAAAGGCCATCTCCCTGGGAGAACTGGTCTACCTGGGTGGCGGTGTGGACCTGTTCCGGGCAGACGGCCAAGGTCTGCGTGATCTCCACTTACTTCACCCCTGTAACCGTGACCTCCTGGATATTAGGCACTGTCTAGTCTTCAATGATAATAGCTCTTGGTGATTAATTTTGCTGCTTTTGGTCGCTTTCAGGGAAACGGGTTTTGGCATGTAGTCAGTATCTTTCAAACTGAGAGCAATGGAATTGAGGGGACTGTTTTCCAATTTATCCCAACAATTTAAAGTCCCGTGTTAGAAAAATGCAATTCTTCCTGGAATACAAACACATACCAAGGGTTCAATTACTTATTATAACAACTTCATTCCAAAAAGTGTTCAAAGTGGCTTCCAAAACAAAGAATGAAATTGACAGCTAAGGATTTGGGGCAGAAACCGAGCATACCTAAATCACCTCATTTTCCCATTGCTCTGGCTGTTCATTTCACCCCAAGAGGCATAAGAAATGAGGAAGAATGACCGTCCGGGGAAAATGACATGGAATCTGGGAATACCCTGTTTAAGTCATAGGCTCACAGGAAAACATTATTTAGACCATTTTTTACACCATTTAACTGTTATATACAAATCTAGAATGAAAAGCATTTTAATAAGGTGGGTAAAAATATTTACACATATTTCAAATGATCACGCATTAGATGCTGCATCATAGAGGAAGCTTGCACCGTCTACCTCCTTCTGCCTGCAAGGTTAGTTCCTTAATAGCTGAACTTTTCCTCTGAATTGGCTCCCAGCTGGGAGGAACAAGTCAGTGTTTTCAAACAAAAGGCACTTCCAGGAACTCTTAAGTCAAAGAACTGGCCCAGAATTCTTTCAGTTGTGGGGAGTGGGCAGGAGGGAACTTTTCTCTCTCCTCTGAATCCAGTACTTGGTGGTCCCCTGCTTCTTTAGTGAAACAACAAAATGGCCGGAAAACACTTAAAAAAATGTTTCTATGACAACGTGGTATGAATGAGCACACTTCCTAAGGAAATGAAACTCCTAAAAGCTTCTGTGACTTTACTGGTGATCTCAAGAGAAGGCTTTTTTTGGTTTGGTTGTTTTTTTGTTTTTTTCTTTTCAGTTCACTGATTATAAATCCACGTTCAAAACTTATGACTCTTTACCCAATTAAGCAGTTTATTTTTTTTATGTGTCAATTTTTTCACCCCTCTAATTTAATTTTTTTAAATATTCATCAACACAATCTCCCTTTCCTTGTAAAGGTCCCTCCTTGTCACATGTCCATCTATTTTCACCACTCACACTCCTTCACTGATTCAACAGCTTTTTTATTGCCGGGTCATAAATCTAGTGAGAACAGCACCGAAATGAGCAGGAATTTGTCTGAACTTGTGGTGCTTCTTCAGAAAAGATAAACAATCCCTCTGGATCTTGAGAAGTAACCAGGTGGTCTGGGTTTTCCTCTATGTTTTTTATTTATTTAAAAATTTTCTTGAACTGTAGTTGACTTACAATGTTGTGTTAATTTCTGCTGTACAGCAAAGTGACTCAGTTATACATATATATATATACATTCTTTTTCAGATTCTTTTCCATTATGGTTTATCACAGGATATTGAATATAGTTCCCTGTGCTCTACACTAGGACCTTGTTGTTTATCCATCTTATATATACTAGTTTGCATCTGCTCATCCCAAACCCCCAGTCCAGCCCTCCCCCAGCCCCACCCCCTTGGCAACCACAAGTCTGTTCTTTATGTCTGTGAGTCTTCCTTTATGTTTTTTAAATTTAGATTTGTTAGCCTAAGAGATCAGGAATTCCTGGCTCTTGAGGACTGGGAGAGAGGGAAGATGATATTCTAGAAGCTGGTCAAATACCTCTGATGAGTTCATCTATCAATTTTTAATGCCACCAGGGTTTAATTTCAAAGTGGAAGAAATTTGTGGCAGACTGGAAGCAGTAGCTGCCGCATCCCTGACTGTAATCAGTGTGAGCTCTTTAGAGCCCTGTTTCATTTTTAGTAGATGGCTGTGCTGTCTATTCCTTTTCTAGAATGTACCCTGGAGATAAGGCTTGGGGTATTTGCCCCACAGCCAGACATCAGACCATTCATTTCTGCACCAATTTTTCTCCCCCATTTTAAGGGACCTTTCTCTGTGGTAATGAGCTCACTTACAGATTGATATCTCTAGGGGCCTCCGTGTGGGACCTGTGTAGTAAATTTAGAGCAGCACATTCAATTTGTCATAGCAAATACCTCCTGTTCTCTTTATAAAATTCACATACACATGTCTTGTCTTGGATTTAGTTAGCTTGTTGACTAGGGGAAACTCTCATCAAGGAGAGAAGCTATGGATATGTCACTCTATGAACAGGAATTTCCCAAACTTCCAATTTCAATCTTCAGATGAAAAGAATGAACACCACATGGTAAGCTTTTGCCGAAAGAGTTTTGCTGAAATGCACTACTAATTTTCAGCAGTCAAGAGCATTGTGTCTGAAAGAAAGGAAGAGATAGGAAAACACAGTCAGCTCTCACAATAGATTGAGAGTAACTGTGCGAACGACGAGGATAAAGATGAAAATAGCCATGTCCTTCTTTCCCCCCTTTTCACCCTAGTGTGCCGTTTGTTTGCATCTTCAGTGCCAGGCGGGGGTCTTTCCCAGGTACCTCCCCAGAGCCAGCCGTCCATGTTCTGCACAGCCAGGCATCCTCTCAGGGGGACAGCTCTGGAGCAGCCACATCTTTTCTTTAAGGAACACAAAGACCTCGAGATTGCTTTCTTTCTATTTTGCATCACTTCCCTGACTAATACAGACACACTGTATTTGCATAACATAGTTTTGGTCCGCATGGGACCCCACCTCCAGCTTCCTGAATATGCATTTTATTCTGTGCGATGTCTGAATGTTGCACCTCTAATCTCGTTACCAGCCTGTGTGCTTCCACTGAGTTATTCTCCAGGCTTTAGAACCGTACCTCCAGTTTGTAAGCTGAGCTAACGATTACATTTTCATCTCTGAAAGATGTTAAATGAAAGCATGCCTTGTGGGGAGAATAAATCAGAGATCTCAGCATGAGTGGCCCCCTACCCCCAGCCCAACTTCTCTGCTTGCTCAGTGGAGGCTGGAGAATAAACTCCCCTTTCTCTCGAACATTCATCTTCACCCAGAGAACCTTGCAGGAACTACGCTCTTAATACAGCATTGTTTAGCCCCCTTCACTGAGACGCTTTCATTTGGTCAGCCCAGAGAATAACCATTTCGCAGCCTTGGAGACAGAGTTCAGTGATTGAAGTGCCAGCCGACGGAAACGGCGTGGGACCCCAGATAGCTGGGATCGATGAAGAAACTGTCCATCCCTAAAAGAATAGGACAACAGACAGGTTGCAGTTGCAAAAACTACAATCAGAATTTTGCTGAGGTACGTCAAAGGCAGAGTCAAAATCACTCTTCCAAGTCATTTCCATTTCTTTGCGTTCTCACTTAGGGTTAGCTGCTTTGGGGCCAAATGCTTTGCCCAAATGATTTCATTTAACCCTTAGCACAATCCTTAGAGGTTTTTTTTTTTTTTTTTTTTTTAATCCTCATTGTACAGTCGAGGAGCCAGAGGCAAATGACTTTCTCTAGGTTCCACGGTAAGGGACGGATCAGAGTCGAGTCACTGGGTCTGTGGGTTTGCAGTAATGTGCAGGTTCAACTGTCACCCAGTCCTGGGTCTATCCCTTCAGTGTCTTCAGGCAGGTTTTCTAAGACCTGCCAGGGCAAGACCACACTCACATCAAACCTCCTTCTGCCAACTATGTGTTTTGCCAGCTGACACTTCCTCTTATGGCTTTTTTTTGCCTCGGGACCTGCTTTCTGACAAGATGGGCGTTTTCTACACCAGGCTCATCACCAGAATCATCTGGGGTGCTTATTAAAAATAGAAGTGCCCCCACAAAAAATAGAGGCGCCCCAGCATCTCTTGGAGACTCTGATTCATGGAGCTGGGGGTGAGAAGGGGCCCAGGAGTTTCTTTGTGTAATTCTGATAAATAATCAAGTTGGGGAAGAGATGTCATTTCTCCAAAGTTTTTGACCCATGCACCCCTTTCATGTAATATATAATCTGAAAACTCCTTCAAAATTAAAAAAAATTTTTACGTGGTGTTCGCCAAAAGTCATTTTAATTTTAGTATCTTATTTCAGATCAGTATGATATCAAAGGATGTCAGAAAGTATTTCTAATGTAATATTAATGATGATCATAATTTGTAAGCTGCATTTTTACTTTTTCTCCCTTCACGAGTGGCTTGTGATATGTAACATACTTTAATTTTATACAAAAACAAACACACAGTTTTTTGGCAAACCAATTTTTAAATGATTTTTATATTGTGTTTGGTTTGGGCAAACAACAAATAGTACAATGCAGCTTGAAATTTAACCACGTTAAGGGCATCAAAAGTGGACCATGGGGCTTCCCTGGTGGCGCAGTGGTTGAGAGTCTGTCTGCCGATGCAGGGGACGTGGGTTCGTGCCCCGGTCTGGGAAGATCCCACATGCTGCAGGGTGGCTGGGCCCGTGAGCCTCTGTGTCCGGAGCCTGTGCTCCACAATGGGAGAGGCCACAGCAGTGAGAGGCCCGCATACCGCAAAAAAAAAAGTGGACCATGGACTTAATTTTTAAAGAATTCTCATATTTTGTTTCAAAATGATAAGGGAGAGGATGTTTCTTTTGTTAAATTTTAATTTCAATAAATGAAAAAGCAATTGGATACAATGATTACTGTTTTATCTCTTTTAGACAATGGTCTGGAGATACTGAACTGACATCCTGTAGGAATTTCAATTTATTGAACGTAACTGGTAAAATTTTGGAAGCTTATGTGAGGAATGATTGTTATTTTCTTCATAAACTTGGATTTAAATGTCCGTATTCCAAATGCTTTGTTGATTTAACCAATGGCCATTGGGGGCATGAATTACACAGTGTAAAACTAAGATGAAAAATCACGTAAATGCTGTCAGGAGAGGCAGCGCGGCCAGCTGTTCTCAGCGAACTGGGTGACAAAGTCCCATCCTTCCTCCACAGCCACCATGGGGCCTCCCTCCTGAGTTCTCAGAGCTGCAAGCTGTCCAGTAGTAAAGGGGAAATCTCTGAATAGCTATTTGGTTCATTTATGATTTTAAAACGAAAGCAGCAGGTGCTGTCAGCACCTTCACGACATGACCCTCTGGAACAGGTTCAGAGACGCTCCTGGGGACCCGGGAAGGGGTCGGGAGGCTCTGTGGCTCCTGGTACCTCAGCGAGGTTCTCAGTCCCGACCACCCCTCAGAGTCATCGGGGCAACTTTTAAAAGATGGGTGCCCAGGCCCAGCACAGCCCATTAACCAGACTCTTTGGTGGAAGCGTCCAGTGTCAGGACCAATCTCCGCAGGTGATTCCAACGTGTGGCTGTGAGCCAGCAGCCCAAGGGGATGAATCGGACACTGTGACAGGCTTAGCGGTGGAAGGCGTTTGGGGGCAATTAGGCCTAAGGCCTGAAACCCCATCAGGATCCTGGCCCTTCTCCCCGATGCTCCGTGTCTTCAAGGAGTCCACAGCGGCTTGAGGAAAGCACACACACCCAAAAGAGCATTCTGCCTGAAGGATTTTGAAACTTGCCTGCAAGTTACTGTTAAAGATGACACCTTTGCAAATGCAGGTTTTGGAGGCCACGCCCACATCACTGAGCACGCTGTCACCACCACCCCTGCCAGTACAGGGTGCTCCCCAGGTCCCGCTTGAGGACAGTGTCTTATAGGAGATGCCAGCTCCACCCACACACGTTCCTGAGCACTGGCTCTGTGCCCAGCCTCACACTGACCCCCGACAACATGCAGATGAAGCTGTGACCCTGCCCCAAGAACCTCCATCCAGTCGGGGACAGATGAGCAGATCAGGGGTTACAGCCACTGTGCTGAGAGCCGAGACGGGGGTGCCGACAGCATCCTCACCCCTGCCACCGTCCCAAAGGTGACAGGGGTGGGAGGCCAGCATTTGAGCAATTTCACCTTCTTTGTACATTCATATATATTATATAGAAACCTATAGAATACACTAAAATATATATTTCGCACATGTCTGTGTATATGTACCTGTGTGGGTTGTATATATACAGCTTTTGTTGTTGTCTACAGAACAGACGAGCAACCGCAAAGTATTCCATGGAAAACTTCCTTGCACTGAAAGTAATGGGCTCATTTCAAATAGTGCCTAAACGTGTCATCTTTGGATCAGGGGCTCATGGGAGAAGAGGCTGGGTAAGTGGGTTGGAGCTAACGTGGGAGCTTTGCATGCCAGGCTGGGCATTGTTTAGAGGTGTTATTCTGAATATTATGAAGAGCTGTGTGTGTGTGCGCACGTGTGTACACGTGTGTTGGGGGAGGGTGGTTGTGTATGTGTGTGTTGGGTGTATGTCATGTGGGTGAGTGGCGTGTGGTGTGTGTGTGTGCATGCCGAGGCACGTGTGTTAGAGAGCATGTGTGACATGAGCAGACCTATCCTGGGGGACCCCCGGTAGCAGCTGTGCTCTACACTATTGAGGGACAGTCTCTGGTGGGGCAGGGTGGGCAGGTAGGAGTCCGTTGAGTCAGAAAGTTCCCTTGGAAACAGAAGGAAAGGGGTGGGAGAGGGACCGTGGAAAAGGGACTGATGTCAGGTTTGGTACCAACCAGATGTGGGGCCTGGGGGAGGGTAGCAGGCTGTGAGCTGTGCTCCTGCCTGACGGTACCTCTGATGGGGGAGGGGCACCCGAGGGGATGGGAGAGCCCCTGAGCTCAGGTGGGGCTTGGTTGAGTCTGAGATGCCGAACTCAAGGGAAACTGGAGCTCCAGACACTAGTTAAGGCATCGTCTAAGAGAGGACAGGATGGGGAGGAAAATGCGAGGGACAGGAGGGGCCTGAGGGGTAGCTGCCCAGGGCAGCGGGCCCGGCTCTGGGGCCCCGTCGGGCCAGCTCACTGTCCTTTGGATGTGATGGAGGGAACGGTCAGGACCCTGAACCAACGGAGAAAGTCAGGGAAGATGCAGAGTTGCCGAGCTGCCCTGAAGACCCCCCAGCACAGCAGGGGCTGCGGGGCAGTGCCTGCGGGGCCTGCTGGGGTTTCTCTGGCTCTGTGCCTCGCGGGGACCCACACCCGGCCCTCGAGGTGCACCCGCCCCCCCAGCAGCAGCTTCCCTCAAGGGCCTGGGGGTGATGGTCCTGATGCCCTGAGGGCCGCCCGTCTTCTCCGGAGGGGTGCGCTCTGCTGATTTATTCAACACAGAATTCAGGAGACAGCCTCTTTTGTCAGCTCTTTTCTTGCCAGCAGGGCAGGAAGAAAGCTTCCTCAGCCTCCCAGCCTCCCGTAGGACACCCCCAACCACCACCACCACGGAAAGCTGGTCGGGAAAGCGGCTTTGGGGGTTTGCTTCATTTTCCCGTCACTAACATGTAATTTTCGTGCAGCGGCCTGAAGTTCCTTCTAAGAGAACAGAATGAGGTGGAGTCAGCAAGACGTGTGAGTACACGCAGCTCGACGCTGCCAGACATGGGGGTGGGAGCGGTAGGGGGAGCCGCCAAAGCCTCAGGAAGCTCGTCCTGCCCAGGCCGCCCGCTTGGCATGAAAATAGAGCCTTTCTTTACCAGAAAGACTGTCTGAGTCGGAGTTAACCCAGTTCAGCCGACTTTCATCCCTTACTCATAACTGAAATCGGTGTCTATGCTTGAAACCACATCCACGTTAACTCATTATTTCTATACCATCCAGGCACGAACTCTCGTGGCCTCACAGTGAGTGTGTGTATGTAAGTGTGTATGTGAGTGTGTGTGTGTGTGTGTGTGTCTAGGTGTGTGTGTGAGTGTGTGTGAGACACTTTATCTCTCACACTGCCCACAGCTCTGGACGCCAGCAGCCCCGTCCTGCTGGACGAGCTGAGCTTTGGGTACCAGTACAAGGCCCAGGACTGTGTCCCCCGGTGGGTGTGGAGTGTGGAGTGGATCCTCAGTACGACGTTCCCCTCACCCCATTAGCCATGGTTTCCAGCCCCTAATGGTCTCTGCCCTGGAAAACGTGCTGTGCGAGGCAGTATTGCGGTATCTGACAAATTGCACTAATTTGTGTCTTAATTAATCCTGTAAACCACCTTTACGGTTCTTGCCTCCCATCCTGCATGTCCAAACCAGCCTGAGGTTACTCCGGGAGTCTGCATTTGACGGTAAACAGCGATGGCTCTCCTTCTTAAAATGCAAAGTATGCCTCATTTCTGTGCTTACCACGTTGGTATGACCTGAAGTGCACTGCGGCGATGGAGCTGCTGCTCTGCAGGGTCCGCTAAGGTGGGACAAGCCTGCCCTTGGCCCAGCGGTGAGCTCCCTCCAACGCTTGGTTGTTCCGGTTCCAGCCGGCACTTGTCACGAACCGTCCGTCCTAGGTGCGTGTTCGCCAGGAAGCTTTCCAAAGCCCTGTGTGATTCACCCCACTGGCACAGAGCCAAGAGCACTTTCGTGCCAGGAGGCTGCTGCCCCCTGTTTGCTTATTGCCAGGGTGGTCTCACTTCTGCACGGCACGTGAGCATCTGAAACTCACCTGCCGGGGCCCAGGGCTCCGCTGGGTCGTGGTGGAAGGGCCCTGAGAGGCTCAGGCCAACGTACTCTGCACCTGTGGATCTCCTATCTGTCATTATTTTCTCTTCTGTTTGTTCTCACCTGAAACCATCAACACAAATGGAACTTTTACTGCAAAATATACCACAACGTGCAAGGCAGGGGCACCCAAGGGTCAGCTTGGGCGTTGGCTGAGGAGGGTTCCAGAGGCTCTCAGCTGTGCCGGGTGACCCTTTAGATGCAGCTCATGGAGAGATCTGGGGGTGCTGGGGGAAGGGCCAGGGAGGCCAGGACACCAAGGGGGCCCACGGCTAGTTACCCGCCAGTCTGGAAGCTTTGCAATGCATAACAGTCTCTGTGGCCTTCCTGGAACGCGGTGGGGAACTTCAGCACTGATGTTAACCAAGCTTCTGTCCCCTTCACTCCCTGACCCCTTCCCGTCTAAGATGTCTTCCAAGCAACTGAATTGATCCAGGAGCTCTGCACAGAGATAGAAGGTGCAAATATGAATGAACACGCCCTCACCTGCACGCACAGGTAAGTGGAGGGGCAGCCCTCACTCACACAGCACGACCTGACCGGGGGCCAAGGTCGCTGGGTCGTGTTTTATAGCTGTTGAGAATGACGCTGCTGTGAACACTGGTGCACAAATACCTACTCAAGACCCTGCTTCCACTTCTTTGGGACCTATGCCTGGAAGTGGAATTGCTGGATCATATGGGAATTCTTTGCTTATTTTTTAAGGAACCTCCATATACCGTTATCCCAAGTGGCTGCACCCTTTTGTGTCCCAGCCAGCAGCGCACAAGGGTCACGATTTCTCCAGATCCTCAGCAACACAAATTATTTTCTGGTTTGTGATTGTGGACGTCCTAACAGGTATGAGGTGGTATCTCGGTGTGGCTTTGATTTGCATTTTCCTGATAACTAGTACAGAGACTTTTAAACTCTGCCCACTTTATTTATTAATTTACTAGCACACAGAAGAGTTGAAAGAGTAGCTGCAGCATCCAGACTGAATAATTGAGCACAAGTCGTAGCCCCTATGACACCTGGCCCCTGAACACCTCAGCAGGCGTCGTTCTGAGACTTTGAACCCTGGCCTGTTGGTTCGTTCCAAACAGGGATGCAGTCTCAGGTCCCGTGGGTCAGGTTGGAGCATCACTGCCAGGCAGCACTGCTGTTCTTCACCCGGTTGGAGTTTCTGCACAAGCAGCTTCCAAATTTCTAATAAACTGTAAACTCTCACTGGTGCCTTGCCTTGGGTGGTCCCCAACAGATCTGAGCGGTGCAACTCATGCTATCACGTCCCCCTTCCCCACCCCCCAAGAAACTTCCGAAGGACTCCATCTGGCATTCAGCATCTTTACGTTTGTTCTTCTTGTAAATATGTTCTGCAGTGAAATTAAGGTTAGGCTTTCTGATCACGTGATCCTTCCTGACTCCCGCGGGCATCCGTCCTTTCTGGATTAGTGACATGTAGGCATTTCCATGTTCTGGAGCTGAATCATGGCAGCCGGATTCGCGCTGTGTGTGGCTGGCCCAGCTCCCAGGGCCCGGCATACTCCGTGGCCAAGTCTGTGAAAGCCACGCAGGAACCTGCTAGAGATAATGAAAACCAGCAGTGGCAGTTCCGCTTTCAGTGGAAGGGTCCTCACAGGGCTCATCCTCAGGGTTAGGGACAAACAAGGCGCATTTCGCTCTCCTTAGCTGAGCCAGGGATGCTGAATGTTCTGTCTTTCTCATGGGCAGTGTCCTTTGGGTTTGAGTCACGATTAGGGATATGCTCAGATAACCAGGTCTAGAGGTCTGCAGTTGTGGCTGCACATTAGAATCATCTGGGAGCCTTTAACGATCCCCATGCCTGGGCTTTAACCCCTACCAAAGAAATCAGAATCTCTGGGCATCGGTGCTTTTTACAGAAACTCCCCAGGTAACACCAGTGAGCAGACATGCTTGAGAATCAGCTTCTAAACTTGAATGAACATGTAAATCACCAGGGCATCCTACTAAAGATGCAAATTCTGAAGAGCAGGCCTGTGAGGGGCCTGAGATCCTGCATTTCTGACCTGCTCTCCAGTGACGCAATTCTGCTGGTCCCCACTTTGAATAGCGAGTCTGAAACAGGGCTTGGCAAAGCGTGGCTCAGAGGCCAGATGCTTTTTTTTTTTTTTTTTTCCCCTGCGGTCCGGGGGCCTCTCACTGTTGTGGCCTCTCCCGTTGCGGAGCACAGGCTCCGGACGCGCAGGCTCAGCGGCCATGGCTCACAGGCCCAGCCGCTCCGCGGCCCGTGGGATCTTCCCGGACCGGGGCACGAACCCGTGTCCCCTGCATCAGCAGGTGGACTCTCAACCACTGCGCCACCAGGGAAGCCCCAGATGCTTAAAAAAAAATTTTTTTTTTTGCTGCATCAGGTCTTTGTTGTGGCACGTGGATCTTCGTTGTGGTCCACGGGATTTTTTGTAATGGCGCGTGGGCTTCTCTCTAGCTGTGGCGTGCAGGTTTTTTCTCTCTAGTTGTGGCGCGCAGGCTCCAGGGCACGTGGGCTCTGTAATTTGCAGCATCCGGGCTCTCCAGTTGAGGCTCACAGGCTTAGTTGCCCCACCGCATGTGGGATCTTAGTTCCCTGATGAGGGATCGAACCCACGCGTCCCCTGCATTGTAAGGCAGGTTCTTTACCACTTTACCATCTGAGGGACCACCAGGGAAGTCCCTCAGATGCCTATTTTTGTAAATAGTTTTATTGGGGCACAGCCATGCCCAGCTGGGGAGTTATAACAGACCGTATTACCTGAAAGCCTAAAATATTTACTATCTGGCTCTCTACAGAAAAAAACATGCCAACCCCTGGTTTAAGGCATGCTAATTAATGCTGGTATATCTGTTAGGAACTCAATGACCCAGGCTGTAGGTCATGATCATTATAAGATGATGGTGACTCAGAGGGTCTCCCTCCCTCAGAGGGGCAAGGTACATTTTTAAGTCGCAGTAATTATTAGATCGTCTGACCTCCTTTTGGACCTTTCAGATTTGGTTTACAATTGTGGAAGTGAAAATTGTTTTTTTGTGCAGAGAATGTACTAAAAAATATAATAAAGAGAGAGAGAGGACAATTTATACTCCTCTGAAAGTTCTTTGGCTAATGTCTTAGCTGTGCAGTCTATTGTCCATAAAATTCTAATGAATTATGTCACTTAAAAGTTTTCTACCATTTAAAAATTATACAAGTAATATATGTTTGTTGAGAAAATATGAACATATGGTACTTACAATCTGAACATCCAGAAATAACCACTAAAATGTTTGAATATACTCTTCAGGCCATTTCTGTACATACATATGCTACATGCCACAGTGTAAACAGTCTCTGGTGTCAGTTTTCTCATCTCTAAAGTGTGGAGAATAATAATATTTCTCCAGGGGGTTGTTGATAGGATTAAATGAGATCATGTGTGTAAAGTGCTGAGCTCCCGTTAATAGCTCAGTATACGTTAAGTTTAGAAATGGGGTTCTATTGTTTTATAAACTACCCCCAGGGTTTTGGGGCCAGTCATAAAATCGGTACATGCCACTTTCATCATTCTCTTCTGGAGAGAACCTGGTCTCAAGACCACATACCTTCCTCCAAGGGATGCCTGGACATGCAGTGCAGCTGGGCAGGCACCCAGATGGAAACCAGGACCTCGGGGTGTGGGTGAGGGATTTAGGTGGAAAGCTAATCTCTGCCACAATAGGCTTTACCCCATTTTTCTATGAGAGTGTTCATCTTTTGCTATTCGATGCATGTGAGTTCTTTATAAATTAATGATAGGAATTTTATGACACACATATATTGCAAAATTTTTCTTTGGTACCCTTTTTCACTTTTAATTGTGTTTATGGGGTTTCTATTTAAAAATTAATTTAGTAATGTATGCACATATGGACATTGTAGAAAATTTTGAAAATAATCAAAAGAACGAATTAAAAATTGCTCAGAATTCCACAACTATAGATAACAACTCTGTTAACACCTTGATTTAGTTGATGTGTGTGTGTATGTATATGTGTATGTGTGTTTCTTCGCACACAATTAGATTTATGCTTTATATTCTATACATAGTTTTAAATCCTGCTTTCTTGCTTAAAATTCTACTGTGAGAATTCTCCCACCCCACTGGAATTTAAGAGATAACTTTTTTTTAAACATCTTTATTGGAGTATAATTGCTTTACAATGGTGTGTTTGTTTCTGCTTTATAACAAAGTGAATCAGTTATACATATATGTATATCCCCATGTTTACTCCCTCTTGCATCTCCCTCCCTCCCGCCCTCCCCATCCCACCCCTCTAGGTGGTCACAGAGCACCGAGCTGATCTCCCTGTGCTATGCGGCTGCTTCCCACTAGCTATCTGTTTTACGTTTGGTAGCGTATATATGTCCATGCCATTCTCTCACTTTGTCCCAGCTTACCCTTCCCCCTCCCCATATCCTCAAGTCCATTCTCTAGTAGGTCTGTGTCTTTATTCCCCTCTTACCCCTAGGTTCTTCATGACCTTTTTTTTTTCTTAGATTCCATATATATGTGTTAGCATACGGTATTTGTCTTTCTCTTTCTGACTTACTTCACTCTGTATGATAGACTCCAGGTCCATCCACCTCACTACAAATAACTCAATTTCGTTTCTTTTTATGGCTGAGAAATATTCCATTGTATATTTGTGCCACATCTTTATCCATTCATCTGTTGATGGATACTTAGGTTGCTTCCATGTCCTGGATATTGTAAATAGAGCTGCAATGAACATATTGGTACATGACTAAGAGATAACTTTTAATGGCTGCTCAACAATCCATCATTTAGATGTTCAATATTTCATTTCCGCATATTTCTAATTTTGGGTATTAGATGGTTTCCATATTTTCACTGTTATAAGTAATGTCTCAGTAAGTGTCTTTCTTCCCAGACCCTTGGCCACCCCTTCCCACATTCGGTAGCCATGCACTGTGCGCCCATGAAGCACCAGGCACCCTCCTGGGGTTAGGAAGACATCACTGCCCTGGGCTTGGGGCTCACAGTCTCATCCTGCTTGTTTCCGTAGCATACGTTTCTAGAAGGGGAATGACTGTGTCAGAGACACAGAGAGAGAAGCTGGGGCGGGAGGAGCTGAGCCTTGCTAAGGGAGTAGCTAGGAGCCGGGGCCCCCAACTCCCCTTCTGGGGGCAGAGATGGCCATTCCCCGAGGGCTGCGGCCTGTTCATGCTGTTGTTTCTTCAGCGTTTGTTTCAAGCTTCCCTTAAAGCATACGTGTAATAATGAAGCCCTAAACGTGTGCTTCCAGGACATAGTGGACTCTTCCGTGTCCAGCAGGGGAGCATCCGGGCCCTTTGGTACAGTGGCTGGTGATGGAAACGCAACGGATTGTGGGAGTCATTCTGCCCTAACACCCGTGGGTCCCAAGGCCCAGCACGAGCAGAGGCCCTCACCCTGTCGGCCTAAATATTTAAAAGTTACTCATCAGATGGTCGAACAGAATAAGCTCTTGTCCTCCTGCCTTTGCAAGTATACCTACATCATGACCTGAGGAGCAGGTTCAGATTTAGGACTTCTGGCACTTTGAGGTTAATAACACGCAGGGATGCAGGACCAGCCTGCGACCTGCCTCGTCTCCTCCCCAACGCCCGAGAGGCCTCCCAGCCCCATCGACAGCCCGCCAGCAGCTGCCCTGCTTTACCTCTGGGGCCTGGGGTGTGGTACCCCGGGAAGAGAGACCCGGGGAACGGGTCCATGTAGGCCCTGAAGGTGGGAACAGGCAGTTTGGGCAGGAAATTCGGGCTCCCAAGGACCTGGAACGTAGTCCAGAGAAAGAGTCGTGGGCTCCAGGTGGACACACCCTCACCCCAACGGGCGTGGGGCTGTAGATGGGGGACCCGTGAAGCCTGGGGCCAAAAGGCAGGACCCCTCTTGCTTGGGTCTAAGGCATGCTGTGAACAGCTGCTATTGAGCTGTGCTTGTGCCGGCCCTGTTTTCCCTGCTCTCTGTGCATTGTTGCTTCCAAATCACACGGCTCAAGGTTCTCGGTCAACTCCCGGGTGGTGACGGCCCAGCCAAGATGTCACTCCGGCGGCCTGAGTCCAGGGTCTACCCTCTTCACTGCGGTGCTTTGCTGCTCCTCATAGAAGGATGGGAAGCTCTGGACTGGATTATCTTGAGACCCACTTCCTCCCAGTGATGGGGGTCAGCTGTGTGGGCAGGGCTGCTCTGGTCTGGCCAGCTCTGCAGTGAGGAGGGGTCCAGAGACCTCCACGGCACTGGGTCTGTCCCCTGACCATGACCTCACACCCGTTCGCTCTCAGATGTAAGGTCTATTACTAAATATTCCAAATTGGGATGTTGCTGAGCATTTAGGAACAGAGGTTCTAGTTTCTTCATCTGAGTTTTCCCCGGATTATCTCCCTAAGTAGGATTCATCAAATGGCTCCTCCCAGCAGGACCCTTCTCTTGTCACCGTGGAAATTATGCGGTTCTCTACTCTACTGGCAAATCAGTGTGAAGTGAACGCTTTCCCTTGGAAATGCTCCTAAGTCTCGATTTTCCAAAATAAAAGTATTTTATCAAAACAATACTTTGATTATGGGAGCTTTTTTCTGCGCTGCCCCATCTTAGCTCCACGGATGGAGTTTGGGGTGGGACCAGGGCCGGCAGTGTAGCTCCATTCCTGCGTCGCCAGGTACAGAAGCAGGATTTTGGGACCGTTGGGGTCTTTCCCTCCCCTCTGCGCAGGCCAGCCTGGGGGCTTTGATAAAGAACCTTGGGAAGAGGCAGCCCGCATGCCCCGTGGTCCCCCCGCAGTGGTGGCAGTGGTCCCCTGACAGTGCCTTCCTCTGCAAAGGTGCATGGAATGAACAGTCTCCCTAAATTAAGTCTATAAAACGTTTCCTATCTCCCCTATTACCCACGCCTCGGACTGAGTTCATGGGCAAAGGAGAGAGAGTAATCCGTGTAGAATTTTGGTCAGTTGGGTAACCCCCTGGCACAGTTCTGGAAAATGTGATACGAGAGGGAAGTTCTGTATAATTGCCCAAGTGGGAGTGATTTCAATGTGCCTGTTGCTTCCCCTGGGCAGTGGCAGGATGGTTCTGTGTCTTTTTGTTCTCACTTACCCAGGGGTGAGTTTGTTTCCCCCTTTTTGCTTGTTAACACCCTTGTTAACATTCACCCAGGGTGGCCACGATGGGTGAGATAAACATTTGAAGAGGGCCTAATACAGTCAATCTCCCCCAGCCAGTATTGGTGGCTGCCAGCCCTTAAGGATTCGTCCCAGTCATTTCATCCGGAAAAAGGCATGACGAGCAAAGGCTCTCAGGAGGGCAGCGGTGCCGTTGGATGGCTGAGATGGCATAGGAGCGCCGGGCCCACGGCCACCCCGCTGGAACTAACCGCGGTGCGCCGAGCTCTCCAAAAGCAGGATGAGAAGCGTTGCAAGGACGTGAAGGGAGTCCCCAGGACAGGCCAGCCTCTCTCCAGATCGGATGTGGCACATGGTGGCTCGTGTACCCACGCTTCCTCGGTTCTCCCGACAGCAGGCAGGCAGCACTGAGATGACATCACTCCTTCCCGCTGAGCCCGGGGAGAGCTTCACCGCCCTTCCCAACAAAGCCCATCAGGCATGTGTTGCTGAAAGATGGAGTTTTCATGCAGGGTGAAGCCCAGTGGAAATCCCACTCTAACATCAGCCCAGGAGCCACCCAACATCTCTAAGGAGGGTGGCGATGGCAGACCCCGTCGGTGGCCTAACTGCTCTTCTCGCTTTCTCTTTCTTGTCAGGATCCACACCCCATTTCGGAGGCTGAAGGTATCAGGTACTTGGTTTCGCAGCCTTCTCTGCAGCAAGGACATAGGTATGTGTCCTAATCCTGGCCAAGGATTTGTGTTCTGCCTGTAAAAGCTCTGCTGGAAGTTTTCCTTCCTGGTAAAAAGAGATCTGCAGAGAGAAACCCCACTCTTTGTGCTTGGAACTTGCTTACCTGAAGATGTAACTTGCAGAGCTGTGACCATCATCTTGTAACCACGAGGCGCCAAGCCCGGAAGTGAAGACCAGTGCTCTGTGGACAGTGGGACAGAGAGACGGACACACCCGGGTCTGTAATAACGTGCTTGGTGGCTGAATTTAACATATTTGGAACCACTCACTTCTGGACTCCTCCTTATGAGACAGTAAGTCCTTGTGTAAGCCGCTTACCGTTGGATAAGCTAGTGCTATAGCCAAAAGCATTCTTCCTGATCTGAACCCTTCCCCTGGGTTTGCGGCATCTCCTGCCTTAAATGGCAGAGCACAGCCCTCGGTATAGAAGCTGACTACGCTGATTGGTCACTTTCCCAGGCTTCCTGTGCAGTTCAGAATGGACACACTGCCTGGGCTCCACCGATCACGCACCCAGGCCAAGCCCTGTGTCAGAATCTAGTGGTGTGAAGGAACAGAGATGGTGCAGAATCCATGCAGTGGAGGGGACAAGAGGCTGCGTCCAGTGTCCCCGGTGGCCAGGGCCGTGGCTCTGGCTACAGCAGGAACTAGGCCCGTGACATCCGTGTCAAGAGTACTTCTGGTGCAACAGTGGCCTTTTTTTTTTTTTTTCTGTACGCGGGCCTCTCACTGTTGCGGCGATGCACAAGCCCAGCGGCCACGGCTCACAGGCCCAGCCGCTCCGTGGCACGCAGGATCCTCCCAGACAGAGGCACGAACCCGTGCTCCCTGAATCGGCAGGCGGACTCTCAACCACTGCGCCACCAGGGAAGCCCGCAGTGGCCTTTTTTGATTGGAGTGTAGTTAATTTACAATGCTGTGTTAGTTTCAGGTGTACAGCAAAGCGATTCAGTTTTTTATATATATATATATATATATATATATATATATAAATTCTTTTCCATTATAGGTTATTACAAGACATTGAGTAGAGTTCCCTGTGCTCTACAGTCGGTCCTTTTTGTTTGCCTACTTTATATCTAGTTGTGTGTATATCTCAATCCCAAACTCCTAATTTCTCCTCCCCACCCTATCCCAGCCGTGGCCTTTTTTGTTGTGGGTGGAAAAGGCCATTTCTGTCTGCATAGCGTCTGAGCCTCTGCCTCTTCCTCCTTCCCAGAGAGTTTTGAGCTTCTCAATACCTTTTTAGTCAATTCCCATTTTGCTTAAAATGGCAAACTCGGTTTCTGTCGCTTACATCTAAAGACACTGACCGATACAATAACCCACAGGCAGTGGTAGCTACGGACGATACTGCCCGCGAGAAGCCCTCTGTTAGAAAATTGCCCACGTGCCACCTCTTTTGAGCATATAAAGTAGACACATCTCTGAGTCCCAGCGCATACACAAAATCAAAACATTTTCCATTTATACGTTTGGATTTCCAAGGTGAGGGAGGTATAAAATTCAAGTAAATGGTTAAGAGAATATCCTCCTAAAAAACACATGAAATATTATTTTCTACTTCCTGGAAGGAAACACAAGGTTGCTTCTTGCCTTTGTGGTTTTGCTCAGAGGGTCCGGGGTAACCCAGTTACCATGGCAAGAGCTTCCTTTTCAAAGCACAGCAGCCATTCAGAACGTGTCCCGATGGTCACGTGATTCCTTCTGCTCCCGTGGACATCAGCTTCGCTGTGAGCTCTGTGTGTTGTTGCCGAGGTTCCTGAGACCTTGGTGTAGGGCCAGCTGAGTAGGTTTGGGGAACAGCTGTTTCTCTCTTGGTCCTGTTTTGAGTTCTGTGATAGATGAGGCTCTGAGAGAAGGCTGAAGCCACCAGCAGAATCGATGTGAGAGCCAAGAGCTTCTCCCTTTTCGGGTTCTAACGCGACGTGGGCCTCGACGGTAGACCAGATACCTGACACGGACCTTTTAACTGTTGAGTGGTCTGTAGATGGAAACTACCGCCACCGGCTCGCTTGTCTCAAATCTTAATTTTTTGCCACCTCCTCATTTCCAACCTCTTTCTTCCTTAATTAATAATAATAATAATGGCCGCTTTTAATTAGGCACACACTATCAGCTGTGCTACATGCTAGATGCTTTATATATATTATCTAATTTAACCTCCTATGTTTCCTGTGAGATATCTTACAGATATTTCACAGATGGGAAAACCGAGATGGCAGGGTGGTTAAGAAACTTTCAGAGGTCACTTTGAGAGGTTGACATTATTAGTCATCTTTTCATACATCCATGTTTTATCTCCCAGACAGACCCCTTGAAGGCAGGAACCAAATAATATCAATCTTTCTAAAACTCATGGTTTTAGAAATAATGCGTTGGGCTGGTCAGTTGCTCTGTCTTTAAATACATCCCAGTGTGGGAGGATGAGAAGGCTTGACTTGACACGGGATCTAGTGGTGCGCTGGACCTGATTCGTCGTGTTTGCCTATTTCCATCATATGGGTGCTTTCCCA